TTATCTTGAGAAGGTTGTCTTATGCGTAGAATCATCGGTTGCATTCCTCAGATCATTTGTTGCGATATGGGTGTTAGTAAGGCTAGATTTCGAGGATGAAATCTAGTATAAGTGGGTGAGAGTTATAACACCCAGTTTTGAAAGTGATTCGTTGATTGGGGCTACGGCCCAATTATCATTAGTCATGAGGTTTAAGGCATTGGGAAAGGAAGTATTTGGCCCAGTTCGGAGGTGGGTGTTATAGTATAAGTGATCCAAGTATTCGTTTGTGTCTTCAGAAGCCAAGGGTATGATTATAAACGAATATCTTGGTCTTTTACAGATATTGGGTTTAATCTAGAAAGGTTTAAGGCTTGGGTGAGTTATTAGGAGCATAGGGCTTCTTGCCACCTTTTTCGTGGATATAAGGTTCGTCGGAAACAGACGTCGGATGGGGAAGTTATGGAACTTTGAAGGCTTTGGTAGAATTAGCCCCTAATGGAGAAGTTTGGTTTATCAGTCCCATGCATGCAAGGATGCATGCGCGTGCCTGGCTGGGAACGCCCAACGTAAGCTAAGTTACCCACAACTTATAAAGACACTTGGTCGCGGGTGGGTTGTGAGTACACTGGGCGTACTAAGAGGTATACGGGGCGTACTCCCTTCAGACCAAAACCCTAGATTTTAAGGTTTGACACTACATAAAGGACATTATGTCCCAAAACCCAGCAACCCTCTTACCCTTAGACAACTTTCACGAAACCCTAATCCTTCATTGTGTGTTTTTGGAGCTTAGAAGGCCATTAGAAGAGTTTTTTGGTGCTTTTGAAGAATGTGTTCGTTCTTGAAGGTTCATTGAAGGTCTAGAGGTGTTCATGCATGAGATAAGGCCATTTCATGGAAGTAGAATGCCATTTTTAGAGTTTGGGCTTATGTTGGGTATGCAAAGTCACAAAGTCAGTGACTTTATGGGTTTAGACGTTAAGTAGAGCTCAGATCTATGAATTGGTCCCTTGGTTTGAAGCATTAAGTGCTCAATAGCAAAAAGGACTTAATAGAGGAGTATGTTGCGCGTACAAGCTGGTATGTGCAGTGTACAGGTCACGAACCCAGTATGCGTTGCGTTTAGTTGAGTACGCCTGACGTACTCAGTCAGAATGGGTTTCACACAATTGGGCCTTAGTTTGGGCCATTCATTGGACTTCGCTACTTTGGGCCATTGTGGGCCATCAGAAATTAGATATTTTAGGCTAAGAATATGTTGGACTAAAGGGAAGGCCCATTTGAGGAGTTGGGCCCAATTTAGAAAATTTGGCCATTAGTGGGCTCTTATGGATTTCACAGTTTAGGCTTATTTGGTTTTGGGCTTAGGCCTTAGTTAAAGAATCTTGTTGGGACAGGGGTAAAATGGTAATTTTACCCCAAGTATGGATTACGGATCACAGGTTGGGACCCAATTACTAATTGGGTGATATTTTGGTATTGATAGCTTGAGGAGTTGCCAGGGCAACAACTAAGGATTTCTTGAAGGGAACTTCAACAATATTAGTTGAGTTACCTTCCGTGTATGAGTAGGTCGAAGGCACCAATGCCGGCCCATTAGTAGTTGTTTATAGCAGAGATGATTGTATTTGTGATAATTGTCTTGTATGCCAGTATATGTAGAGATTTATGTGCTTTCATGCTATGTTATTATATGGCAGTAGTAGTAGAAGGGGTGAAGTAGGCCCCGTAACCAGTTGAAATAAACCACCCATATATGTCTGACATTATGTTTATGATATGATATTATGTGTTACTGATAGGGGTGAAATAGACCCCATAACTGGTTGAAATAAATCGGAGGGGAGATCGGGCACCCATATATGCCTGATAGGGGTAGGTCGGGCACCCCAATATGCCTGACAGGGGTAGGTCGGACACCCCGGTATGTCTGACAGGGGTAGGTCGGGCACTCCAGTATGCCTGACAGTATGATTATGAATTGTATGTGGTATGGTGGGGGAACTCAATAAGCTTCGTGCTTACGGTTTTCAATTTTGGTTTCAGGTACCTCCAGTTTTGAAATAAAGGAGATCGGGGCGATCACAGCGCATACACCTATGTTTTCCGCAATATGTGATTTATGGGAATGAAGTTTGATAAATGTTTTATTTGAAATGCTTTTCAATGTGTGAACCAAGTTACAAATGTGTTTTAGTTATATTAAAAATGAAACTTTTGGTCATGAATTCTGGGATGTTACAATTATAGGTTTGATTCTCTATCTTTTCTACAACGAGTTTCTATTTTTTGTTCTTTTAGGTAGGTGGTACACAAATGACGACATGTGCATTTTACAATGAATTACTATCCATTTTGCAGATTGTTTATCTTTGTAAGAAAACTGGCCCATCTCCTTATTTATTTGTTTTATATGCAACCGTCATCCATGTATTTAGATGATGAGACTGACAACATTGGTGCTTTTAGGAAAACAGAAAATTGGTGTTTCATGTTTGTGAGATTTTAGGTCTGAGGGGTAATTTCGTAAATAAAAAGAAACTTTCCATGGTATTGAAGTTGGAATAAAGCTATGTTTTAGGTAGACTTGGCAATGAGGTGGTTTTGGAGCGAATCGACCTTGATGCAAACCAATTTAACAAATTTCAAATTCCGATCCAAACCCGCGCCGTAATCCAGAGGGTTTTGAATAATCAAACCCATACACTTATTCGTCGAATCAACCGATATCCAAACTCGTCTTGTAACCCGTAGGTTTTTTGAATAATCAAACACATTTTACTTAAACCTCAAAATAATATTTATTAAATAAAACAAATGTTGATTTAAATAACACATTACTTACTCAAGGAATTTCGATTGGAATTAAAATCATTTTTGCAGTAACTTCTGATTGTTTTTGACCGTTGATTGCATTGATAAAGAATAGCAACTGCAAACTTTCTTCCGATTGATAAATGACTGTTTGGTTGATGAAATATAAATGAAATGAGATCATGTTTCTTGTTAGAATACTGAAAGTCTAGAAGTCGAGTCCTTGATCCCTATGTAAAAACAGTTTAGTCTTGGGACTTTCGATTAGAATTAAAAGTAAACTTTAAGTTGTATAAAATATAAATTTATAACTCTAAATTTTATACGGGGTGAGTTATAAATGGAAAAGATTAGTGATGATTCATACCCGAACCTTTTAATAAAAGGGTTAGCGGATATGGACCGTTAACGGGTAAATGGATCAAATGGATGTTTCAAACCCATATAATTATTAAGAGTTTAGATCGGATCATTGTCAAAATCCGCTCTGTTGCCCGCTCTAGTTTGAGGTCCACGCATATGTGGCTGTATGTGGTTTTGTGTGTGTCCATATGGGTGTCAATGCTTGTGCTTTACTTTATTGTTTAAATAAATATTTTGTTTTCAATTTGTTGTTTTGTTTTAGTTTCGATATCTCTACTTTCTTTGTTTTTATTATTTTGTATATAAATTATAGAATTTTGATACGACCATGTGCTCTACATTCTAAGTTTCTTCTTTTAATGACTATTGTGTTGATCACGTGCAACTATCAATGATTTTTTGTTTAAATTTGGGACCAAAAATGCAATTAATTATGTTTTCGACTTTCCGATAATATATATAATTTGTCTGAAATCGGATGAACTCGGATGAACTGTAAAAGACTTTATCATGTAATGGTGTAAAACCGAGAAAGATGTCTCTTTCTTCCTTTTTATCCATTACTTCAATTAAAAGATGTAAATTTCAATATACTTTTTAAGATTTATTTTAAAACTACATTTGTGAGATTCAGTGTTTTTAGATTATGATCATTGATAGATTAACAACGAATTTTACCATTATACATAACTTGAAATTGAAAATCTATTTTTAAAGAATATCACCATGATTCAACAAAACTTCATAAATGGTCCTATGATTTTACAAAATTTGAAGTTTTATCCCTAATTTTAGAAAACTTCACGGATGGTCCATGTGTTTTCAAAATTTTTAATGTTTAGTCCTTACGGCTAACTCCGTCAATATTTGTTCCTTAAATAAAAGATATTTTCGTCATTTCACTACCCAGTCACCATCTATGAGATTTTCTATTATTATTTAAAAAAAAGTAAATGAAATTTAATATGTAAGGCTCTCTATCTCTCTCTCAACATCATGAGAGAAAGTAACAAAACAAAAAATTGATCAAAGACCCTCCTTCACTATCGTCTTCTATCTATTCCTCTCGTATCTATCTTTCAATCGATGTATAAATTTAAGGTCAAGGGAAAAGTATTTGGGGTTAGAATCAAAATGGATTTTGAAGATATATTGTCTTACAGGTCCATATTGAGGTAAACGACCCACTCCTACCTTACACTCCTATCTGCTACCTCTATTTGTTTCCTCGTCGTTAAAGGCTCTTCTCTTGCATTACAGGCATCAGATCTTCGTGGGGGTTATGATGGTTGATATCTCTAGTCTGGATTCTATTCATGTGTTCTTGGAATCAATTAACAAAATTAGGGCAAATTGGGGCACACAATTGTTTCACCCACTGCCTCCGGAAACAGTGGTAAAAATGTTGATAGATAACGAAATCCAAAAGGTGAAGCTTTTTTTAATACCGATTATGGTGCATTAAAAGCTCTGGGTAAGTCTGGAATTTAAGTTATGGTTGGAATTCCTAACGGCATGATTGCTACCAGGCCAAGTAGTATGAATGCTGCTGAAAGCCTGATTTCACTACAATTATGTAAAAACATAATCACAAAAACAAAAATCGAACAGGAACAATGAAATGTAGAGATAAAAACCACTCATTGGTGTACATTATAAATCAGATCTGGATCGGGGCGAAAAAGTAATGGATAATTCTTCAAAACCAACATCAGTTTTTAAAGTTTGATTATGAGTTTTTTTTCCGTTTCAGATTGTTGTTTTGTGAAGAACATATGTTCTGAATTTGTTTTTGTTAATTTATAAAAAAATAATTGAATGACAAAACTTCAAAAATGGTTATTGTGGTTTTCGAAAATATCAAGTTTAGTCTTTAAGTTCAAAAAACCTCACAGATGGTCCCTGTGGTTTCAAAACTTTTAACATTTGGTCCTTTCGGCTAACTCCGTTACCATTTAGCTGTTAAGTCAGGGGCATTTTTGGTATTTCATTACACAGGGACCATTTATGAGGTTTTCAGTTACTTTTTTTTTAAATAAATATATAAATAAAATTTAATATGCAAGGGTCCCACCTCTCTGTCTCTCTAAGGTGCTTCTCATTTCTCTCTGCGCACAAAACACACACAATCACACACTATTTGTATGAAATGTTCCGAAATTGATGAATGTGCTGCTGATTTTGGTCCTTATTGTAGTCAGTGTGGAAATATTTTAGGGTTTTGATGTTTGGGGAGAAATTTTGCAGCTTTTTTGGCTTGAAGTCTGAAGGAAAGAGAAGTTAATCAAGAGGGGAGAACAAGAATATTTGTTGAAGTTGGTCGTCGGAGGTCAAAGTCAAACTCCGGTTACCGGAAAAAGTCAAGAATGAGCGCATCTCGGTTTATAAAGTGCGTGACAGTCGGCGATGGAGCTGTTGGGAAGACCTGTATGCTTATTTCTTACACCAGCAACACTTTCCCCACTGTAAAGTCAATTCAACTTCATCTCGATTTAATTTCTTCAATAATTTTAATTGTTCTCATTTCGAAGAAATGAAGCAGCAAGGCCGCCCATATCCACCAACCGCAGCCACCCATCGATGCCCTTCCACCGTTGTTGCAAATCAGGTAGAAGAAGAAGAGAGGGTGGGGTTAGGGTCATTTTTTCTCATCCTGACGCAGACTAAGTCGGAGGAGGAGATGTCATCGTCTGGAATCTTTGAGCTTCCTTTGATGTGTTATTGAAAGCAATTGATGGTGGGAGGATCGAGCAGAGTCATTGAAGGCTAACTAGTGGCGACTGTTTGTGTGTGTGGAATGTGTGTATGTATCTATGTATATGTTTTTTATGGTGATCAGGGGGAGGACGGAGAGAGAGGGGGAGAGAGAGAAAGAGAGAGAGAGAGAGAGAGAGAGAGAGAGAGAGAGAGAAAGAGAAAGAGAGAGGTGGGACCCTTGCATATTACATTTTATTTATTTATTTATTTAAAAAAAAGTAACTGAAAACTTGATAAATGGTCCCTGTGTAGTGAAATACCAAAAATGCCCCTGACTTAACTGCTAAATGGTAACGGAGTTAGCTGGAAGGACCAAATGTTAAAAGTTTTGAAACCACAGGGACCATCTGTGAGGTTTTTTGAACTTAGGGACTAAACTTGATATTTTCGAAAACCACAGGGACCATTTTTGAACTTTTGTCTAATTGAATTAAAGAAGTGATCTAATTTTTAAGACGGTTTATTCTTTTTGGTGCAGAAAGAGAGACCTTACATATTAAATTTCTATCTTTTTATTTTTATTTAAAATAAGAGAAAACCTCGTAAATGGTCCTAGGGTATTGAAATGATGAAAATGTCATTCACTTAACGGTAAAAAGCTGATGGAGTGAGGCATAAGGACCAAGCATCAAAAGTTTTGAAACCACAGGGACCATCTATGAGGTTTTTTAAACTTAGGGACTAAATTTAGACTTCGGGATACCATAGGGACCATTTATAAAGTTTTTTTTGATAATAAATAAACCAAGAGTGTTAATAAATTAATTTGTTTCTTTATTTCACTTTTAAGTATATTGATGAGTGCTTATTTAATTATATAATTCATACATTATCATTACTATTTTATGCTACATTTTGTGTTAATTCTAGAACAAAAGGTACTTATTGTGTTTGAAATATATTTTGTAGCAGCGAAGACATGCTCAAGACAAAAAGGAAGCATATGAGAAGTTGGGAGTAGGAAAACGGGAAATACAACAAAAAGAAGACAAAAAAGGATGTTGTTGGACAACTTGACCCCTCGTCAGTGTTTTGACCATATCTCATGGCTCGTAACTCTGATTGACAGGATTCAAAATGTTCTGAAAACTAGAAAGAATTTCAGATGACTTTTGTGTTGAGAAAATGTTGATTCCCGACGAACACACCGTGGTGAATGGAATCTTCCCGATTCTTGACGATAACTTGGACAATACGAGATTTTAATGACGAACACATCGTGTTGGCCATTTAACACGTCGTGTTGACGATGAAACCTATAATTAGAGCCAAAACTTATCCCTAAGGATATACCTTGAACCCTAGATCAATTCCTGCGATTATAAAACCCCCCACGAAGCCGTTTTGAGGGTCTAGAAGGCGGCCAGAAGGTCGTTAAGCTGACACGGGCGAAGATCTGAAGGATTGGCAGCGGATTCATTCCAGAAATCATTTGGTTCGTTGTGCTGACCACGATTAGTGTTCCAATGTGATTTTTTATGCATTTACTTTCTGATTTGGGCGTTAAAACTCCGTGCTTGATTGGATGAATCCTTGAATTTGTGGATTAATTGCCATTTGGATTGTTTATTCGTGTTTAATTTATTTTGTTAAGTTTGATTGAAAGATCTATATGTGTTAAGATTGTTACTTATTCCTTATTGGTGAATTAATGTTGTTTAGATGACCATCTAACTGTGTTAATTTAAATCAAAGTTGTCCACTAGAGTTTTGACCAAAACCTTAGGTTTGGAAATAAGTGATGAATTTTAATGTGTATGCATGAGTAGACCAATCTATGCATGATTTAATTCCTATGACCATTAGGATGAATAATCAAATCTTGCTTAATACGAACTAAATACTGATTTGCATGATTGTTTGTTCACTTGATTAATGGATTAATAGTTGTGTTAAAATTAAATGATTAGTTATCTAGAACTAGAGCTCGCCATTTTAGGAATCGGTGAACAAGAATAAATAAATATGTGTGTGCAATTATCTATGACTTTAAGATGTAATTTGTCTAAACCAACGTACCTAAAGATATTTGTCTTCGGTCAGTTTATCGAGATTTGTTGTTTAGTTGTTTGTTTGAGATTTTATTCCATAAAACCATTCTTATTGTTTTTGCCTGTTTTGTGCAACCTATAATCAAAAACTCCAAATTAGTTCACCTTCGTTTCCTTTGTTATTGAAATCCGTTCTTACCACAGTTATACTATTACAAATTAGGTTTGCTGCCTAGTGTGTGTGTGTTAGTCCGGTTGCGATAAAATCAGTTTTATAAATTTAAAACTTAAACAATATATATATATATATATATATATATATATATATATATATATATATATATATATATATATATATATATATATATATATATATAGATCACACATCATTAATGATTAAAGTATGAGTTTTTGTAAGTTTTGGAATCCAGATGGAGTTAATTCCACATATGAGGTTGAGGAGACATGGATAGAATGGTTGATTTTATAAAGTTGAATGCATTGTCTTTCGGAAAGAAAACAAAATTTTGAATTAAAACTATGCTTAGTGATATTTGCCAATACATCATGTCTTATTTTTAATATGCCATGTTTACTAAAGTTAATTAATCATTGAATTAAAAGTAATTGTTGTCGGCCCAAAAGAAATTAATTTATGAAAGAGTGAATTACATGAATGGTCCCTATTATTTAGGAAAATTTATACATTTGGTCCGTAACTTATTTTTTTAACTCGGAATATCCCTACTGTTTGTTTTTCTTACGCACTTGGTTCCTATCTTACCTAAAAAAACTATTTTTGCCCTTATTTTTTAAATATATTTAAATAAACACACCCCCAACCACACCCCCTCACATTACATTACCTATCCCATCATTTTTCCGTATTTAAATAATAGTCTTTTTAGGTAAAACACAGATCAAGCACGTAATAAAAACAAATAATAGGGACCAAACACGTAACAAAAACAAAAAGTAGGGACTTTCCGAGTTAAAAAAACAAGTTAGGGACCAAACGCTCAAATTACCTCAAACCATAGGGACCATTTGTGTGATTTACTCTTTATGAAAATAAACTATTCGATTGCCCGTCTCTTTGTATAGATAAACGACTAATATATTATAATTATATATTATAATTATGATACACTATATAGTAAAAGGACTTGGAAATCTTTAGTTTTTTCTTTGTTTATTAATCACCTATCTATCTAATGTTTATATATTCTATGAAAAAGCCTAGAAATCTTTAGTTTTCTCTTCATGGTAAATAACTAGACAATGTACTCAAACTTTTTATGCATTATTGACCTTAACTTTACATAATATGTAGTGTATATGAGTGAGTAAATTTCATGCCTTAAGTTTAGGAACATAAACAAAGAAAGAACATGTATACACTTGTCACTTAATAATTATAACTAGAAAGTGGCCCATGCGAAGCTGTTTAAAGAGTGTCATATTATTGTTATCTACTACCCACTGTTCATAAAGTAAATCAAATTTAAATGTTAAACAAAAAAAGAGCTAGTACTATACATTTTCTAATTGATTAGCAAATGTTGAGCTTTACTTCCATTGGCATCTAGGCTTGAGATTGTTGCTTGCTGAAAAACTTTTCTAGGCACTACTTCTTGCATCGACATGAGCAGACAGATGGTATTCACAGTCTTCAAGGGCATTTTGGACTTTTAGAATATCTTTCAACAAAAAATTAAAATGGTTATTTTAAATCTATAATTCCGCATTGCAAAGTTGTTTTGTACATTTATCTATCAATCCATATGCGAAAGTGAATATGATCATAAACTTAGATCACTCTTCAAATGGAATATGCATCTGTTACCCTGAACCTCTTTGTTGATAACTGCATATGAAAAATTGAAGATAAGAGATCAAATAAACATTATTTGAAGATATAAGTTGTAGTTGAAATGTAAATTTTTTAATCCTAAAAAAGGTTATCAACATAAGAATCTCTAAATTGAATAATTAGTTGATAAGAATCCAAGAAATTATGACCAGGTTCTCGATTAAGCATAAAACCACATACGTAAGTATTTTAAGCTGAAATAAAAGTGAAACTAAATACCAACTCCTCAATGCAGATAGTAATTGCATACAAACATCAAAAAGTACAATGAATGAGCATACAAACAAAGTAAGGTAAAAAGAAAGGGAATCACCTTGTGCATTTTCATCTTATACCCCTTTGTAGATACAATTGTGAGAGAAGTTACTCCCATCTGCAATTAAAAAAAAACAGAAAAGTATGAAGATCATCTTAATGCAAAAGTCAAAACTCGTAATGCTTCGGCTTAGGTTCTTTTTGACTTGAAAGGGCATACATTTACCATTATCTTAAACCACATAAGAAATTAATCCTCCTCTGCAGTGAAATTATCAATGTATGTAAACTATGCCATCTGCTTTTTTCATGTTTGTATTAACGTCGAGAAAGAGACGAAGGCTTTTTGTGTGACACACACGAACCAATGAGCCACTTGGCATCAGCCTGGTGAAGCAGTTTCACATGAATCCAGTTCAAATGCACATTCAATTCCTAAGACTTTGATAAAGTGACCAAAGTTGGGTATTTTATTTCTCTACAACAGAGTATTTCTTCATACCCTTTTACCTACCACCATTCCAATTCAAGAGTCAAACACAAAAATGAGATGAGGAATGGAACCACAAATAATTTATTGATAAAGATATAGAATTTAACCTATCACCACACTCCAACACGTTGTTAACTTGATCGATACGACCCCGATGTAATCCTAATCCTGGTGTATGGCTTAATCAGCATTGACGTTTTAAATTTTTTCAATTTCATTAATCTATTAATAATTTACCTGCTTCTATATATTACTTAGTTATTGATTATTGATAATTAATAATTTATTTGCTGCCATATGGGAAATAGAGAAATCATGCCTATGATACATAAAATTCTTATTCTAATATTTTTTGGTCTCATAATATTTCATTCAAGGTTTATTTGGAAATGGAAGTTGTTTAGTCTGAGAAGGTAACATACCCCCCCCCCCCCCCCCCCACCCTCACCCCCCAAACATAACAGATTGTGTTTTAGCACATTGTGATGTCCATAAAAAATATCCAGGTGATCTCAAAACTTGATCCACTTCTATCAAATGTTACAACCCTTGTA